TAAAGCCCCAGGTGTCTTGCCGCCTTTTGCACTATTTGCTTTTCAAAACACTGCTTCCTCAAACTCTCTTGATCGTTACTGCATTACTTTGATTTCTGATTACTTTGAAGCTTTATCAACATACAACTCCAGTAATTTGCACACATAACCTCATCTTACAGATAAAGGGACAATGTTCATAATTTCTCAGATGTAATCATTGAACTCGGTACATTCTTATCTATACTTTTGTCAAAACCCAAGTTTCACGTCAAATATGTCTTGCGACTGTTGTACAGGTAAATACTCAGTAGACATGGGGATTAAAGGCTTCATGTTTTGCATTGCTGATGCATATACAGGAACACAATAAGTATTGATGCAAATACAATAATCCAATGCCTAAGATAGCAATTAAGAAACATTAAAAGCAAAAACAAAAAAAAAACAAAAAAAAAAAAAAAAAAAAAAAAGATATCAGATCAAGAATAAGAGTACAGTAAAAATACTGAATTTGCAGCTTCAAAACTTTGCCACTAGGCAACATCAAACTGATTTTATCTAAGATATTGTGCAGGCTGTATCTAACCTGTAACTCAGGATAGCACATTTGAGTTGCACAGATTAGGCCGTTTTCCAGCGCGGAGATTGAAGCATGATGATCCCCCTCAATTGTAAGAGCATTGGCTAGCTGAGAATTGAAGTTGCAGTACCATAACCTCCCAGAAAATCTTCAAGCAAGTAGTGTGGTTACAATCACAATAAATCCAGCACATGCAAAGTCAAAATCAATAGTTCAATACAGACTTAAAACTCAATTGCGAACTTTTTTAGAGTTGACTACACTTACTAAACCATAGAAGATCACAGTTGGTAACTGTGCCCTAATCTGTTTTCTTCTATTTGGTAATTCCCACCCAATAGTGGCTTTTCCACTCCCCCTTTGTGACTCGACTCTTAACTTCTTGCTTAGAAGTGGAGGACCCATACAACTAGCTCTCTCGTCATAAACACTAATTCTACTAGCTTTTGCCTATATATGTGCTGTACCAGCCATCATCAATAGTAATACAAGGAGTAAGAGAAGGCATACCCATCTTCAGAAGTTGAAATAAGCTCTAAACCCTTGTTCAGTATCTGTTTTTGCGAAGGAATAGCCCCCACTAGCTGGTAACACTGGCTCAACAAGCTATATGCTCTGCACTTGAGCTCAAAGCATGACGGAATTGACTTTAACAGCAATTGCTGAACCCAATTACAGCATAGTTATTCAGTATCCAGCACTAAAAAAAGTTATTAAATTCCAAATTACAGCATAATTGTTGCTGTTAAGCACATGACTTACAGAGCGTTCAAGGTGGGCTTTGGCATGGTTGACATTATTGGAGTGCTTAAGAAGGAGAGTGGCGATCCGAAGCCGAGTTTTAATTTCGACAATAGGAAGGAACGAAACGTGGCTTTGACATATAGCTTCTAAGCATTTCACGGCTTTTCCAATTTCTCCCTTCTTCTCCTGATAATCTGCGAGTCCCCACAGTCCCTCCGCCACTGCTTCCATTTTTTCAAAGTTCCTAGAGTTACCTGTGTCCTTACGCCACCTTTCGCTTCCCCTTCGCCGCCGTCAACCGCTATATCGCCGGAGGCTTAATTAGCGGTGAAATTTTTCGGGCATTTCAAATTGGGGATTTGTCTATCTGGGTCAACCCGTTTGACTTCCGCAGTGAAATGACTGGGACAGTGACCCTTGTAAATCGGACTATTTTGGACTTTCTTTTAGATTTCGACACGCGCGATTATTCTTCTTTTTCATATGTTTTTTATTTTAATAAACAAATTGATTTTTCTCTTTAGAGATCAAATATATAGATGTAAATTTGTTGAAATTCACCTGACAAAAATGTGCATTGCACAGTAGATAATATTTTTTCTATCATGGTATTGGAAAAATTACTCCATGAATCTTAATTACAAGATTCATGTTAAAACAATAGGGAAATATAAAGTTTTACAATAAAATTAATGAAAAAGGGTCAAAATACCCTTGAACTAGTGAAAATAGAGCAGTTATACCCCTCACTTCACCATTAATCAAGTGGAGCAAATATGCCCCTCCCACAAACGGACTCCACATCATATGTAAATCAGCATAAAATAATATTTTTTCTTTCACTTCTTCTACTTTCTCCTCCAACTTTAATTCCATTCGCTTCTCTTCCCCCGCACTCTACTCCGGCTCCACCACTTCTTTGTAAAATTCCTGTGAATTTTTTATTTTATTAAGGCTAATTGCGGAGTAAAACTAATAATTAAGAGAAATCCAATGTGTGTAGGGCCTACACGATGGCATAAGAACGGTTTGAATATTGTGTTAGGAGAATAAAGTATTACGGAAGTGATTTATGATCTATGGAAAGCTGTGCAACCTGATAGGTCGTTTTATGAGTACTAGCTCCATTTTCTGTATTCCGAGACCTCTCATAGCTTTATTTGATGAGTTATGATTTGCGTGTGTGGTCCGTGTCGTTTTTCGAAAAGCTAATATGTGAAATTTTAAAGAAAATGTGATTTTTGACTTAAATGAGGTTTGAGTTGACCACGGTCAACATTTCTGGTAAACGACCTCGGATCGGTATTTCGACGATTCTGATAGGTTCGCATGATATTTTTGGACTTTTACGCATGGTTGGGTTCCCGGGTGACCCGAGGGTGTTTCGAGGCATTGTGTGAAAATTGACAAAAATTGAGTTTCATGTTGAAAATATTGAGTTTTGATTATCGATTCTTGATATTTGATGTTATTTTTATATTTTGAGGTAGTGAGTGAGTTTGTATGGTGTTATTATACCGGTGTAAATGTTTGGATTGGAGCCCGAGGGGCTCGAGTGAGTTTTGAATGGCTTTTGGAAGGAAATGAACTGTTGTTGGGAATCTGGCAATTGCGAGTCCCGCTTTTGCAAAGTCGAGCTGGCAAATGTGATAACTGGGGAGGGACTGTGATCTTTGCAAATGCGAAATAGCTATCACAATTTCCAACTAGTGGCCATCGCTTTTGCGATGGAGTTGTCACAAATGCGACCGGGGCATGGGTTGGGCTGCCTTCGCAAATGCGAAGGTGGAATCGCATTTGCGATTGTGGGGAATCTGCAAATGTGAAGGTTATGTCATTTTTGCGACCATTGTTTGGCTGGGACACTATTCGCTTTTGCGATTGTCGCAATTGCGACATCTACAACTGGGTAAAAGTTGGGAAAAATGAGACTTAGCTTATTTTACGTCATTTTTCAATCCTATACTCCATTAAGGAAATTTCTTGAGAGCATTTTCTTCCCAAATTCATTGGTAATCAACTTTAACTGGTTTTCCATCAATTCTCATTACTTTTTCATGAATTTCTTCATCAAATCTATGAATTTCACGTATTCGGGCTCGGGGTGAATGGATAATCGGAAATTGATTCGAATCTCGGATTTCGACCACGTGGGTTTGGGTTGACTTTTTGTTGATATTTTCAAATATGATCAAAATTGAACCTTTTTCATTTGTGCGTAGTTTCTAAAGCTTGTTTTGGATTGTTTGAATGATATTTGACTAGATTTGGTTGGAGGCTTGTTCTAAAGGAAAAGCCGTAGTCGATTGTTGATTCGTTCCGAAAAGTGATAAGTGTCGTGGTTAACCTCTACTTGAGAGAATTAGGAATTGATTGGTCTAGTTGTTACTTGATTGATGTGTGGGGATGGAGTATATGCAAGGTGACAAGTGTATATGCGTCGTAATTGGTTAAGCATGCAGGGCGGGCTACTTAATTGCATGTTTTTATTTATATTATGCCTTCTTTTATTCCATGTTATTACTCGTTCTGTGCTTTAATTGCTACTTGCCTTTATTTGTTAAATTCATGATTACGTTCGATGCATGCCTCAATTTCCTATATGTTTCCATGTATCCATGCCTTCACTTATAGACCGCCTTTACTTGCTTTATGCTTTTATATGTTGTTAGCTAGTCATTTTTACTTGTCTTATGTCTTTACTTGTTTAGTTGCCTTACTTGGTCCATTTACCTCTACTATGTACGTTGAACTGTCTTAGAGACATTATTTGTTTGGTTCCCTTTTGTGTTACATTATGAGATACACAATAGCTGGTTGTAGTATTATTTGTATATGTGGAGCGGGTTGAGTGCGAAGTTATATTATGATTATTCTTGACTGTTGATTTCGTTACTGTATTGTGCTTTGAAACTGAGCATTGATGACATTCTGGGGCCCTCTATTGTGTATTTCTTATTCCAGTTTCCATGTTAATTGATGTTCCACTATTCCGTTATTTTTTCCACTTATACTCATACAGATTTACAATGAGTGTCTTGTCATAACCTTGTCACTACTTCGTCCAGGTTAGGTTCGGCACTAACGGAGTACATGAAGTCGGTTGCACTCATACTACACTTCTACACTTCTTGTGCAGATTCTGGTGTTGGTCCGAGCGGCGCTTAGTTGAGATTTATCCGGACTCATTTCATCAGGAGACTTGAGGTAGAACTGCACATCACTCGTAGACCCTGAAGTTCCCTCTTTATCTACTATATTGTTTGTTTTATTTCGGACACTTGTATTATTACTTCAAACCCTATTTGTAGTACTTTTAGCAGCTCATGCACTACTGACACCAGTTTTGGAATTAGACTAGACAGCGTGTATATGGATTTTATTATGCATTTCCAAGTTTTACAACTTTACCTTTGTAATAATCTGCTTTTAAAATTGTTAAAGTGATTTGTTGCACCTTATTTTGGACAGGTCAAAACAATATATAACTAGTGGTTCTTCTGAAGTTGATAAAAGAGTTGCCACCTAATATTTAAGATATATTAGGGTACCTATAAGTTTGTGAAAATTATTATCCTAATGGTCTGCTAACCGGTGAGATTTGGGTAAGGGTTCTAGTTATTCTAAGGGGAAGGGGTTATGCATCCCTTAAAATCTACTTGAGGTAGATCCTTAAACTTGGGCTAGGCTTGGGAAAAGAAATATCTATATTCTGGTTGATTAGTGGTTATAAATTGCTAAATGGGTGTTGTAAAAGTGAGAAAATGCTTAAAGCTTATTTTGAAATGCGTCTTGTTTCCTTTTGAGAAAAGATGGTCTTTGACATTTAGAAATAATAATATTTCTCTAAAATCTTCCTATTTATATTTGTGCAAAATGAGATGTATTACGCGACAAAAGAGTATACCTTGTCTATTTGTTGAAAGTAGTTTTGGGGGCGAAAGACTCCGTGTATTTCAAGAGAGGTATTTGATTTTCTTAAAACAGAATCGTTAGTTTCACTGGTTTTGGAAATCAATGCGGTTGCCTCAGTTTGCTTTGAAGCAGTTTGGCCTATTTCAGAGATCTTTCAAAGGAATTTCTGTTTTGACTAGCATTGAATTCCATTTCCTTTTAATCTTTTCTGGGCCCTATTAATTGACTAAAACCAAAGCAAACTTTAGTAAAGGATAAACGAAAAATAAGTTATCGAAAAACAGTTTACCTTTGGAACCACTCAAATTTTAAAAGGATGTTAGGGTCGTTTTGAGGTGATTAACCATAGTTACCCCTTTTGTTTATCAGATTTGGCTTGCCCTAAGGCCAGCCTAATCAATCACAAATATTCAATAGCAACGTTAGTTATCCAAAGACAATACAGGAAAATAAATAGTGACAATTTCTATACAAGTAAAATGAGGAAATTGGATTCTTCTATTGGACTGTCAAAAGCAAACCAGGCCCAGATTGATCCTAAAGCAGCGGCAAACTTCAGCAAATAAGGAAAGCAGCCAAGTTCTGGAACTTGGGTCTGAGTTGCAAATGAACTCAGCAGGACCAGTTCAAACATACATATAAAAGAACAAGAAGATAATTAGTGTATATTAATATAAGGTAAAATAAGATAAAATCATAACAAGTAAATAAAACTCTAAAGAGTACATTAAGGTTTAGTTTTCATTTGTGTCAACCCTGTGAAGATTATTTAAGGTTGGTGACCACCAAAGGCTTGGGGTGAATCATGTTTTATTTATGAAGTCCCCCTATGTACCCCTGACACTTTAGAGTTCAAGAAGGTCTCATGGACCCCGAGCAATGCTTGTATCAGGGAGGTGTACCTCAACCACAAAACCAGACTCACACCCATATACCCCCAGTCATTGACTTCTTACTCTTCCTTAAAAGTTTAGACACAAATAAAGATTAACTCAACATCTCAACCAACACATATCATAAAAAGAACAAATACAAAAGGTTCATCCACACAGAAAATGCCAATTTGAAATCAAACAACCATATTTAGCATTGTAGCTATCATTAGAGTACCAATCCATAATCAAATGAGGTCTGAACACAATATTGGCCCTTAAGTACTCTTGACTGAACACAACATATAAGAACAAGTCATAATAGATGGATCATTGAAGTTATGATAGTAACGAAGGGCCTTAATGTTGAGTCTAAGTATCACACCATGCACATAACACTTATGAGGATCAATAATCGAACACAGTCAAACACGAGTCACAAACAAAGAAGGTTGATGACATGATGTTAGTAGATATGTTCAATTATGCCTTATTAAGTAATTTAAAGTATCATTGAGTGACAAAGATGATCATATGCACTTGTTCTGTCAATTCCACTAAAGGTTCAACATTCCAGGATCTCCTTGAATAGGTCCAGATCACTAGAGCAGGTCAACATATATCTTAGCAATTTTCT